AGAAAGAAAAAAAGAAAAGAAAAGCTCCCAGGGATCCCACCGGTGCAGCTGTGATTTCTGGGGAAGTTGCTTCCAGGCTGTGAAGTACAGCCTGGGTAGAAGGGGTAAAGGTGTCACTCAGTGCCAGATATTCATAGGACAGGAAGAGAAAGAAAGTATAGAGAAATGAGAAACTGAGTAATGAAGAAAGACAAAGAGGGAAAAAGGGGATAAGAAATAAAAACAAACAAATAAAAAAGTAAAGAACAAGAAAAGCTCCCCCAAAAAACAGAAAAAGAAGAAAAAAAAACAAAACATGAAAAAAGAAATGTTCTCAGGGATCCCTCTGCGCATCTGCACAAACTGAGTGGGTAGGTCCCAAGCCACGTAGTACTTACTGCCTGGCTAGAACGGGCTCCCAGTTTGAGAAAAGAAAAAGAAAACAAACAATTCAAAAGAAAACAAAAAAAGCCCTGGGATCCCACCAGCATGGCAGCACAGGCCAGGAAGGAGTCTCACATTTGAGCGGCATTTCACAGCCTTTCCGGAAGAAGCAAAGATGGCGCACGGAGCCAGGTATTTGAGAAAAAGGAAGGGGAGGTGGTGAGAGGTAAGGAAGAAATCTAAACAAGCAGAAAAAAGCAACACCAGCAGCCAACAAATGGCACTTAGTGAGCCAGCCAGTGCGGTGAGTAGAATCCAAGTGATACTTGGGTGAAGTGCTTCCCGGCCAACAGACTGTGGCAGCAGGAGGCAGAGGAGGTCGAGTGGGGGAAAAGGGTGCGGGGTGTGAAAGCATATATCTCTGGTTACCAATTGTTCTGTCTCCTGCTGGAAGCTCCATGAAGCTGCTTTCTCATACACCCTGTTCGCCGATCTCTGATAGGAGTCCAGGATGGCGGGTTCATGCAGCTGTAGCTGATAGGGGACCTCTGTATGTATCTGTCCTCACTCTCTGTTCTCTGTCAGCTTCTTATTCCATTCGGTGCTTGGCTGAGTTCTTTATCTCTTTATTTGATGCTTAGGGTTTCAGGATTGCCATTTTCTCTGTTTGCCTAGTTTTTCGGATCTTAGCTGTGGAGGGATGGCGTGGGGCTTCTGCCTATAGTGCCATGTTGCCAGGAACCCTTGGTATCATTTTTTTGAGAAGAAATTTGACCACATGCGTTTGAGGAATAAATATTCATACTGGTAATTCCAATTTTTGGAATCTTACTTAAGGAAATAAATCTAAAGAAACATATGCATGGAGATGTTTCCTACCATATTAATGATATTAAATATTAATAATCAGAATGTCTTATCATAGCTAAATTCACTATGCTAGTTATACTTGATGAGTTATTATGCAGCTACTAAAATAATTTACATTGACAGATTGAGATAATATGGACAAAAGGCTTCCAAAGGATGTTAAGTAAAAGAAAAATAAGTTATACAGACTGGTTACCACTGTCACATAACCTGTGCATCAGAGAAAACATTTAAAAGCACAAGATGTATGCAAGTAGTAAGGGTAGTTAGATTAAGACTGTTCAGTTTCTGTTTAAAAAAAGTAGGACCAACCAACTAGCTTCCTTATATATATATATATGTATATATATATATACACACACACACATTTCTTATAATTAGTATAGTCCATGTCAGTCTGCTGTTCTTTTGGGGACTTAGTGGGCTCTCATGCCATCAGATGGCTCTGGGCCATGAGGCATGACTGTAGAGATACTGCCAATATGACGACATTTTCCACATTGATGAAATAGAAGCATCGTTGGTGACAGCAATATTCAAAATTATATGGCTTAGGCATAGGCTCTTGCTTCTATAACTACAATTGCTGTGAGAAGAATTCCCTGTAGATGGCCTTCAATAGGAGGCCATCCTCCCTCATTATTAGTGTTTGGCCAAGGTAGCTTTATACTTGAGCTCGCAAATTGAAACTCTTTAGTTTGTTCTCACATGTACATTCATTTTGTCCCAGGACAAGCTGTGCATGCTTCAGTCATTAGAGGGGCTTCCAGCCTCAGTGATGGGTTTGCTATAACCAGCTTCTCATCCATGAAACTCCATGCTCTGTCTTTGCACATTAGTTCCTTGGTTTTGTCCTTTTCTTTTGGTGAGTTCCCATGGGTGCCTGAATCCCACAAGAGTAACCTGGTCTTTATTCGGGACTATTTTAATCCATTAGAGAAAGTTTATAATATTAGATCTCAAAAGATGCAGGTTGTGTTCTGTACCCCTTTCCTTCTAAGGAGTTCCTTTGGCCCCTGGGCAAATGTTCTCATTTATTCCACATGACCAGCTCTGCAGGCCAAAAGGGGGCAGGAGGGGCAGCCTTTATC